AAGTTAAGTGATCATCAGATGGGGATGGATTTAACAAAAATGGTTAAGGAGTACTTGAAACCAATATAGAGGGAGGTGATGTCAAGAGAGCCCATGTCACTGACCTGGATGAACTGTATCCAAAGGTACTCAAAGAACATGATTTGTGGTCTTGACTAGTGGCCTTTGAGGAATTGGGACAAATGGGAAAAGGTCAATACATTCAACAATAGACTAGGGAGCTCCAAATTGCTTCCTGGTTAAAAAAAAAAAAGATTATAACTGCTTATTAAAGGGGTGGTTTGTGACCACTTAGGATGAAATAATCAACAGGAAATTGCATGGGTTTGAGAAAAAGTTATGCCAGACAAGTTTTCCTAAGATAATAGACATAGGGTATTTGAATTTCAGAAAGGAATTATTTGATAAATGTTCCTTCTGGTGACCCTATGTATAATAGAGAGAGATAACTGACATTTATATAGTTCTTTAAAATTTTAAGTTAAATTTAAAAATACAAAGCACTTTACACGCATCACTTCACTGAAGCCTCACAACCAACCTGCGACCTAGGAAGCAGGCACTCCAGGTGTTACTATTCTTTCTTTTGCATATAAGGAAACTGAGACTGAAACAAGTGTCTAGCCCATGATAATACAGACAAGAAGTATGACAAGTGGGATTAATTTCTGGCTTCCTGACTCCAAATCTAGCGCTATATTCACTCCACAATGCCTCTCATTTAGATGATGATCCTGACCTAAAAGCCGTTGATTAACTGAGTGATATCAACTTGCAGGGTAGTCTCCAAGTCTGTGGCTTTGACCTAATTCTATTTGATATTTTTATTTATTTGTTTGTTTGTTTGTTTTTTGTGAGGCAACTGGTGTTAAGTGACTTGCCCAGAGTCACACAGCTAGGAAGTATTATGTGTCTGAGGCTGGATTTGAACTCAGGTCCTCCTGACTCCAGGGCCAGTGCTCTATCCACTGTACCATCTAGCTGCCCCTCTGTTTGATATTTTAACAATAACTAGCATGAAGGCATAAAGGAAAGAATGAGTTAAAATGTATTAATAGCTAAGATTTACATAGTACTTTAAAGTTTGCGAAGCATCTTAAGTTTATTTTTCTCATTTGATCCTCACAACAACCCTGTAAGGTAAGTGCCATTATTATTCCCATTTTATAGGTGAGCAAAGTAAGTCTGAGAAATATGAAGTGATTTTTCCAGGGTCACACAGCTAGTAACTGTCTGAGGCCAGAAGTCACATCTTCCTGACTCCAGTACAATGTTCTTTCTACTACACCGCCTAGCTTATTATGTGCCAGGCAGTGTATATACATCATCATGCTTATCACATTTGTGAATGACATGAAGCTGGGATACATTAGAGTCAGAATACAAAACAATCTCATCTCCCTGCTCCAGTCCATCCTCCACTCAGCTGTAAAATTGATCTTCCTGAAACACAGATCTGACCATGTCACACAACTTGCCCTTACTCAATTAACTCCTCCTCCAGGAAATCCTCCATTTGGCATTCAAAGTCATTCATAAGCTGGTCCCCTGCCTACCTTTCCAGGGTTCTTACACTTTACTCTCCTCCGTGTGCTCCTTGATTCAGTAACACTGGCCTCCTTGCTCTTCCTTGAACAAGACACTCTGTCTCCCATCTCCATGCCTTTTCATTGGCTGTCCCTCGTACCTGGTATACTCTTCCTACTCATCTCTTTCTTCTGGCTTCCCTGGCTCCCTTCAAGTCTTAACTAAAATCTCACCATCTACAAGATGACTTTCTGATGTCCTCAGTGCCTCACTTTTGTTCATTTTCTCCAATTTAATCCTGTCTCCATCTTGTTTATACGTAGTTGTTTACATGTTGTCTTGCCCATTGGACTGGGAACTCCTTGAGAGCAGGAACTATCTTTTGCCTTTCTTTGTAGCCTCAGTACTTGGCACAGTGCCTGGCACATAGTAGGTTCTTAATAAATGCTTATTGACTGACTGAATCTAGCAATATAGAATTTAATAAGGATAAATATAAAGTCTTACAGTTAAGTTAAAAAACTTAATTGCTTAAATACAGAATAAGAAAAATGCAACTAGGCAGCTACCCATGTAAAAAAAAAAAGAACCAAGGTTTTTAGTTGATTACAGCTTAATTGGAATCATCTATATGAAATGACAGTTCACCCTGCCCCCCCCAAAAAAGTTCAATTTCTTTTTTCTTTTTTTTATTTTTGGTGTAGATGTCATGATTTCATTAGTGAGGAGAGCTCCCCAGACCAGTATGGGGTATCAAAGAGCCTATGACTTGCCCAGAGTCACAGAGCCAGTACATGTCAGAGACAGAACTTGAGGCCAAGGCCAACTGGCTTATGAGGCTGGCATTCTATCCACTTGGCCACATTGCATATGATCTTAGTATTCCATGAACAGAAGTAGAACATTCACAGCAAGGGAAAGAAAAGTTCCACTGTATTCTACATTGGTCAGAACACTTCTACTGCCTTGGGTTCTGTTCTGGGCACCACATATTAGAAGAGATAGTAACAAGCTGTAGCAGATCTAGAGGAAGGAAACTAGGTTGGTGAGGGAGCTCAAAACAGTAACCTACAGAGAGGGGTTGAGGAAACAAAGAATGTTTGTCACAAAGAAGAGAAGATTTAGTGGGAACTGGAAAACTGTCTTCAAGAATGTTAAAGGTTGTCATATGGAAAAGGGATTAGATTTGTTTTGTTTGGCCTCAGAGGAGCATTGGATAAAAGTTACCAAGAGTCAGATTTCAGCTCAATATAAATAAAAACTTCCTAACAAATAGAGCTATCCAAAAACTGGATGGACTGTTTTGACAGGGTGGAGAGGAGGGTAGCGAGTTGCCTGTCTAGAAAGGTCTTTAGTCAGAGGTTAGATGTTGGTAAACAACATTCATGCCTAGGATGGGTGTTGAAGTAAGTAATTCAGCTCTGCAATCTTATGATTCAGTGAAAATAATAGAGATACTAGACATAGGCAACAACCAAAGAAAATAAGAGTACACAAAAATGAAATAAAATAAAGACTGTGCTCCAGAAGATATACCTGGTGAGAAAAGATGAAATCAGTGTTATTGATACAATAAATAGTCCTTCAGAAAATAAAAAGAATGCAAATATGAAACATCACACCTTAAAATGTACACAGAGTGTTCAAAGTCGATTTTTCCACAATCCTCCTTCTCCTTGGCCCCTACATATGAATTCTGAACATTTTCAAGGGTCAGATGTCAGCCTCCTGCCTGCTTCAGCTATTTGGTAAAGATGTATAAGATAACCCTGCCCCCACTCAGGATGGCCACCTGGGAAAAGGCTGAGCCAAACTCATCAATGAGCCCACGTGTGGGACCTGCAATCTAGGAAGCTTAGCCTGCATCTCCACCCACAGCCCATTTGACCCTCTGGCTGAATTGCTCAGTCGATTCTGTCCAAATTGAACCCAAAAATCAATTCCGTCATGCAGGGTGCCTTACTTAGTCACTTTCAAATGGATTGGTTTGTCATTGTGCACTCTTAAAGAAATTTCAGGATGGTTTGACTGAGGAAGCTTTCCTGACATCCCAGTACTTTTTCCCTCATCATTTATTGCTTTTACTTATTTCTTGAAACTTAATTAGCTAGTATCGAATGATTTACCCAGGAAAAGAAAAAAAAATGACAATTTTTAGAGTCAGATGAATTCATCCTAAACACCCCATATTATTTAGATATCAAATAAACATTATCTATAAGTGGTTATAATTCCACTTGCACTGTTTAGGCAAACAACTTATGAGATTCTCAAAGAACCCCTGTGAACAAAACCAATATAATGTAAGAATTGATATGCCTTTAGTCTCTCCCCTCTCCCATCTAGCTGACAGAGTGTTGCCAGATTAATATTTCTAAAGCACCACTTTGCACACATCAGCAATTTGTTCAGAAATCTTCAGGGGCTCCTCTCTGCTTACAGGAGAATAGAAAGACTTTTCTCTGATCCTCCACATTGGGGCCCCAACCCATTTCTTCAAATGCATATTACACTACTCTGCTATATAATTCTTGGCTGTGTTGAAAATTTTCAAATGGAGAAAGGATTAGATTCATTTTGGATCAAACTACAACTTTTGCCTTTCTCTAACGTATCTAATCTCGCCAAAAGAATCATCATAAAGCTTAAGTCTGACCATGTCACACCCCTGCTCAAGAATTATCAATGGCTCCCTGGTGCCTCTAGGGGAAAATACAAACTCCTCAGCTTAACATTTAAAGTCCTCTACATCATGACCCCAGTCTACCTTTCCAGACTTATTTCATATTAGTCTCCTTCATCTGCTCTTTGTTCCATCAAAACTGACCTGCTTGTTACTCTGTGAATTTGGGTTGTCCCACAGACCTCTGCTTGCCTCTGCCTCCCTGAATCCCTAGATTTCTGTAAAGCCTAGTTCATGTGCCACTTACTATAGGAAGCTGTTTTTGATCCCCCTAATTCTTTTACCTTTCTTCTGATTCAAATGATCATGGATATATTTACCCATACACATATTGTATTCCCTCCCCTCACACACAGACTCCCACTCTCAATAGAATATAAGCTCTTCAAGGGTAGAGATTGGTCTTGGTTTTGTAGCCCCAGTGCCTAGCATGATAACCTGTACATAAGAGGTGCTTAATAAATGCTTGTTATATTTGCTGGAATGAAGAGTATTGGTAGAATTTGCAAAGAGGCAAATTTCGGCTCAGTCTAAGGAAAGGTTTGCTAACAATTTGAACAATTACAGTTTTCTAAAAGTGGAACGAGCTGTCTCTAGGAGAAGTGGATTCCCATCACTTGAGGTCTTCTAGTAAAGGCTGAATGACCATTCATCACCACACAATGTCACCGAGGGGATTTGGGGTTAGGTTCATGTTGGACTAGAGAACCACTGAGGTCTTTACAGTTGGAGATTCTGTAATTCTTGTCTCTTCTTTGTCCCCAGAAAAGATCATGAATATGATACCACCTGTGCCTGAAATCATAAAATGGCAGAGCCAGGAAGAGAGATGATCTAATGTAACTTGTCATTTTGCCAAAGGAGGAAACTGAGGTCCAGAGTGAGGAAGACACTTACATAGAGTTTATCAAGGGAGTGACAAAGCCAGGACTAGATCTCAGGTATTCTGATTGTATATCCAAAGAATCCTTTTCCTCTTCTCCATTGGTTTCCATTCTATGCTTTCTTCAAGGCCAAGTTCAAGTTACACCCACTTATCCTTGCCCTGGCCCTGCACATATTTCCTCCAGGAGCCTTCCCCCATGCCACCACCCAAAATCACTTCAGTGATTTTGCTCCCGTCTGATTTTCTGGAGCACTTGACTGTGTGAACTGCTAATCTGCCACTCAACACATTCTGCTTTGTATCACTTCATTTAAATATCTCGTCTCTCCAACCAGACAGTGAGCTCCTTATGGGTAGAAAGAGCATGCCATGCATCTTTGTGCAGCTCCTCAATACAGAGTAGCTGCTCAAAAAACATTTGGTGGTGATGATGATGACTGTAAGTTCCAATGAGGGTAGAGTCCCCGTCTACCACAGTGCCTTCACATAGTCAACATTCAAAAAACAGGTGTTGAACGAATAAATGAAATTCCTAAAACTCCACTTCGCATGTTTCTGAAACCTTTAACAGCTTCTCACTACTTGTAGAAGAAAGTTCAAACCTGTCCATCAAGGTCATCTATACTGTGACCCCAACCTACTTCTTCAACCTTATCTCTGATTATTTCTTTATGTAAACCTTCTATTGTAGCCAGATGGGCATCAGAAAGTCCAAAGCATTCCAACAGGATTGGCCTTCCATGTTTTTGGTGCCTCCAATTACCAGCTGGGTTTCAGAAACTGTCTCCTGAGAAAATTACAATGCCCACACCTGCTGAAACCTCATGCCATTTTCATAACCATTATGAGCATATCAAGTTGTTTGGACCATTGTTTGCCTTCTCCAATTTGATCCTTGTATTTTCAGTTGGGATGCACTACTGCTGTCTGTGTTGGCTGTTACCAGCACTCTGGGGAATGTTAGTCTTTTACCAACAGCAGCTGGATAGAACAAAATTTATGTTTGATTCCTTGCCTTGTAATATGGGATCTGTTTCCAATAAAACTACAGCATACCCAGGCAGCTGAACAGCTGCTATGGTGGCGATGGGCTGACATCACCCACAACAACAATAACAGTTGACTAACTGGGTAGCAGAAGACACTGTGCCAAGTGCCAGAGAAAATTTACCGAAATTAAGAGAACTCAGAAGTTCTGCCAAAAAATTCAGGGTTTGACAATTTGTTTTGGACCTAAAATTCCCCCAGTGGAATTTTCCTCTAGTTGGAATTTCCTCTTATATAAAACCTTCTCTGTTGTCTCTATAACTTGTTATCTTTGTCTTGTTTTCTCTCTCTTTCCTTCAAATCAACTCGTAGTCCTTTTGTAGTCCTACCTGACTCAATCCAAGACCTTTCTTCTCCTGCACTGAAGGGGTGGTTGCTTAAGAAGAGGAACACAGATTGAGAGTTGAAAAATACCTTAGAGGTCATCTGTTCCAGAGGTGTTAAACACATGACCTGTAGAGTGACCTGAACCAGATTAAAATGTAATTGGGAAATGTTTAACAAAGTAAATAAAAATACAATAAAACATGGATAATGTTAATATGTGATTTTCTAAATCAATATGTAACCTGTGGGGATCCTTACATATGGTTTAGTGGCCCCCATTTCTATCTGAGTTGACACCATTGCTCTACTTTAACCCCCTCTTTTCCAGATGAAAAAAAAAACTGAGATCTAGAGGGAAGAAGCCCAAGGTCACACAGGTAATAAGTGGCAGAACTAGGCCCTGAACCTTGGTCTTCTGGCTCCAAACCCAGTGCTCTTTCTACTGTGCCACACTGCTCTCCTCTAGAGTAGAATTTGTTGACTGGAAAGTTTTTCTTTGCTCCTAGTCATGGAGCAGTGAAGAAGGTTACTTCTGGCTTCTCTGTCACTTGACAAACTATGTGGATTTGGATAGAGGAAACCAAACCTACCAAATCAGAGAAAGTTGTGTGGCATCATGGGAAAAGAACTCACTGGATTTAATTTGAGGATCAATGTTCAAATCCTGACTCTGCCACTTAGTAGCTATATAACGGGACAATGCAGTGGATACAACAGGAAGAAATGAGTTCTAATCCCACCTCAGAGACACTTACTAGCTATGTGACCCTGGGCAAGTCATTTAACCTTTCTGCCCATTTTTTCAACTGTAAAATGGGGATGATAACAAATAATCCTTCTGTCTCCTAGAAGTGTTGTGAAGGTACGAGATATTTGTAAAGTGCTTAGCAAAATGCCTCTAACATAGTAGGTGCTTAATAAATGCTTCCTTCCTTCTTCCTTCCCTTCATACCTACCTTCCTTCCTTCTTTAGGCCTGTCTCCTCATCTAGAATATGAAAGGATTGGGTGAAATTATCTCTCTCTTCCAGCTTTAGATCCTATTTCTTGTACACCCTTGCCATGTCTTATTCCCATTAGAAGCACCAAATTCTTGACTGCTCTTCCTACCTACTTCTGTGAACCAATATTCTCACCATTAAAGGACATGGCAGAAGATAGGAATAAGGGAATAAAGGAATCATTTCTCAACATGGAGGATGCTATTCATTTTCTTGAGAGCTCCTCTCTAACATTCATTCCAAAGGTCAATAATGACTTAGACAAATTCCAAGTCAGGGAATTCTTTTTTGACATTTCCAAAGGAGTCGATAAGAATTTACTAAGCCAGTAGACTGGGGCTCTGCTCCCAACTAACTATTACTTTGGTCAAGTCACTTCATTTCTCTGGGACTTCCTTTCCTAATGTATAAAATAAGGATTTTGAGTAAGATAAACCATGGGGCTCCTTCTAGATGTAAAGTGTTCTTTATGATTTGAGATAAACAGCAATGAAGAGTGGATTGAGTGCTTGACTTGGAGCCAGGAGACTAGATTTTAAATCTCAACTCAGAAAATGATTAGTTACATTACTATAAACAAGTTGCTTAACTTCTCAGAGACTCAGTATCCTCATCTGTAAAATGAGGATGATAACATTTGTGCTGATTATTTCATAGAGTTCTTGTGAGGAAAGCACTTTGCAAAACTTAAAATACTATAGAAATATTATTATACCTAGTTGATTTCTCAGTTCCCTTTCTGCTCAAATATTCTAACTAGATAACTAGGTAGATATATATATCTATATATATATATCTATACATATCTATATCTACATATATATCTATATATATCTATATATATAAATATATATATCTATATAAAGAGAGAGAGAGAGAGAGAGAGAGAGAGAACGAGAGAGCTACAACCAGAGTTCAGGACCTCATCACCTCTTAATCTGGAGCATTTCAACAGGCTCTTAATTGGTTAGTCTCCATGTCTCAAGTCCCTCCCCACTCCAACCCATCCTTCTAATAGCTGCCAAAGTGGTTTTGCTAAAAAGCAGATTTGACCCACGCCTATATTCAATAAACTCTAATGGCTCCTTATTATCTCTAGGATCAAATGCAAACACATTCATTTGGCATTTAAAGTCCTTTATGACTTGTCTACAACTTGCCTTTCCATCCTTATGAGGTGTTATTCCCCTTCACAAAATCTACATGCCAACCAAACTGGCATACTTCCTGTTTCCTGAACATGACATACAATCTCTCGCCTCCATACCTTTTCAAAGGCTGTCCCTCATGCCTGGAATGCTGTTCCCCCTGACCTCTACCAAAGCTCAGCTCAGGTGTACCTTTTATGTGAGCCTTTTCCTGATTCCCCTAGCTGGAAGCGCCTCCCTCTAAGATTAGTTGGCATTTATTTTGTATATATTTACATGGGCATATGCTATCTCCTCTCCACAGAATATAAGCTCCATTAGGGCAAGGAATGTTGCCTTTTTATCTTTTGTTCCTCAGGATGGGTACAGAGGAGGGAATTAATAAATACTTGCTGATGGATGATGATAATGGTGGTGATGATGGTGATGATGATAATGATGATTCTGCTTATTTTCAGGAAAGATTCCATGGAGAACAAAGTAATGTGATAGAAATCCAAACAAGAAATCATTTTTTCCCTTTTAAAAGCTGCAATAATGTTCCAAACTGCCAACATTTATGTTTCTTATTATTAGATGCTGAAGGTACTATTTTAAAGTCTTTGTACTTTCCTATAAAATTCTATGTAGTTTCTGGCCTCCTTGCTGTTCCTTGAACAAGACAGTCCATCTTTAGACTCTGGACATTTTCTCTGACTGTCCCCCCATGCCTGAAACACTCTACCTCCGTATCTCTATCTTCTGGCTTCCCTGGCTTCCTTCAAGTCACAGCTAAAACTCCTTCTTCTGTAAGAAGCTTTTCACATCGCTGCCCACTCCCCTTGCCTCCTCTCCAAGATTACCTCCCTTTTACACTGTTTATATTGCACACGTGTGTGCTTTTTTTATGTTGACTTCCTCCTATTAGAAGGTGAGCTTCTTGAGAGCAGGTATGATGTTTTTGCCTTTCTTTGTATCCCCAGCACTTAGAACAGTTCCTGGGACATAGTAGGGGCTCAATAAATGCTTTTTGACTTGACTTGACTGTAATGATAATATTCTTTGTTCAGAGTCAAGACGCACAGTGAATAGAGTACCAAATGAGTTGAGAAGACCTGGGTTCAGATCCCATCTCTGACATTTACCTAGCTACATAACGTAGACAAGTCATATAACCTCTCCACCCGAGTTTCCTCACCTATCACATGGGGATAATAATCCTTTCAGTCCTTACTTCATGGTTATGAGGCTCGAAAGAAATAAAGTATGGACAGTGTTTTGCACATTTTAGAGTGCTCTATGAAAGTCCCTTATTATTCCTTATTACCTGAGTGTTCTCTGGGTTGTTGTTGTTTAATTATTTCAGTCATGTCTGACTCTTCAGACCCCATTTGGGGTTTTCTTGGCAAAGATACTGGAGAGGTTTGCCATTTCCTTCTTCAGTTCATTTTACAGATAAGCAACTGAGGCAACAGGCTGAAGTGACTTGCTCAGGGTCACTAGTAAGTGTCTGAGGTCATATTTGAACTCATGAGTATAAGTCTTTGGGACTTCAGGTCCAGCACTCCATCTACTGTGCCACTGGCTGTTCTCTGGGTTAAAGGGTAGCAAACCATAACTGCTCCAATGTTGAGATAAGCACAGTCAATATACTAAGCAGAACTGAGGAGAGGAAGGCAAGAGAGGAGGTGGAGCTGCTCTGCGAGTAACAGTAGCATTTCCAACCATCCAGAGAGGGCACTTAAGGTCAGTCACAAGGGCACTTTCAATTCACTTAACCATCTACTAAGCACTTATTATGAGCAAGGCACTGGGTTTTTCATTCATTCATTCATTTGTTCATTCATTCATTCCTTTGTTCATTATTCAGATGCCGTTTATGTATGACAAACTGTTTCCTCAACCCAGTTACGATCTTCAGGAGTACAGAAGCTGATCCAGGTAAGCCATTAGGTTCTGAGGGAAGGCACTCACCTTAAATTTAAGAGTCAGCTTGCCAGAATGGAAAGTCTTTGAGGGCAGAGAAATTTCATAGAGCCCAAGTTACATGTCTAAGTGAGACTGAAATTCCATCTTATCCCTATGGGGAGGGAGGGCAGGGTTGAGGGAGCCCCAACCATTATAATCAAGATGTGTCAAATGGCCCAGAGACTTGAAACGTCTAGCCCATCTGAAAGAATTAAGATTAGCATCTTATTATATATCCTTTGATATGATGATGTTTGACAAATTGGTATTGGTCTGGAAAAATCATCCAAACTTAGAAGAGTAAAGACATTTTGCATGAGAATGTCATATATTGAATCTGAATGAGAGAAATGGATATGTTCAAAATCTAATTTACATGCAATTCCTGGGGCTGATTTATACTTATTTCTCATTGCTACATGTAAGCACTGGTTAGGATTATTTAATCAAAAAAACTAAGAGAAAACCAAAAAAAAAAAAACCTAGAAAGGACAGCAAGAAGTATATGGTTTGGAAAATGGTGGGCTATAAATTATGTTTATAAATAAACAAGTTTGGGGCCTTTGTAATATTTACAATCCAGAAGTGTATTTGTTTGTCACAGCTAGCTGTGAGAAAACCTTGGCTAATCTCTTTCCTTTCATTCTTTATTACTGTGATTAATTGACAACATGATTGATAGTTCCCACATTATTAGCAAAGATATGGAATGCAATCATTATCATGAACCCCTAGATGTTGGGCCCCTCCAAAAATATTTTTATTTAATTTATATATAGCCTATATTTATTTTTCTGAGTTTGTATTGTACACATTATTTTCTCCCAGTAGAATGTAAGCCCTCTGAGGGCAGAAACCTGTCTCATCATTTTTGTCTTCATATATTCCCTTCACCTAGCCCAGTGCCTTACACATACTAGGTGTTTGATAAATGCTTGTTGAATGAATAAAGAAATGATCCTCTGGAAGGAAGAGAAAAGAAGTAAAAAGATCCTTTAAAAACTCCATTTGTGGGACCCAAGGTATTACTAGATTATAAGCTTGATGAGGACAGAAACCATGTCTTATCTACACTTTGACTCTCCCTCAGTGCCAAGCACACATTTGATACTTAATATATGTTGATTAAATTTAATTAAAAGATTAAAATGTGAGACCTGGAAGGAACCTTAGAATTCTTCTAGATTTTTTTTTTTTTACAGAAGAGGAAACTTATCCCAGAGAAAGAGAGTAACTTTTCCAAAATAGTTGTTTTTATTGTTGTTCAGTCATGTCTGATTCTTTGTGACCCTAGTTGGGGTTTTCTCAGCAGAGATACTGGAGTGGTTTGCCATTTCCTTCTCCAGATCATGTTACAGATGAGGAAACTGAGGTAATCAGGGTTAAGTGACTTGCCCAGGATCACACAGCTAGTAAGTGTGAGGTTAAATTTGAACTCATATCTTCCTGGCTCTGGGCTGGATGCTCTATCCTCTGTAGTACCACCTAGATGCCCCTACACAGCTGTAGTATAGTGGAAAGGGTATTCACTAGCCTTGGAACTGAAAGACATAGCTTTCAGTCCTAGCTCTATCCCACCTCTATCCCACCCTGTGTGACTTGGGGCAAGTGAGTTTCCTTCTCTGGGCCTCAATTTCCTCATCTATAAAATGAAGGTGTTGGACTAGAAGATCTCTGTAGTCCCTTCCAAGTCAAACATTCTTTGATTCTAAGGTCACACATGGAGCAATCAGTAAAGCTGGTAGCTAGAACACAGAGCTCCTGACTACATGAGTGTGCTAGTAAATGTTTAACAACAAATTCTCCAAGGCATAATTTCAAGTTCAATCTGCATTATTAACATTTTTCCATCATTTTCTTAAGTCTCGATCATCAACAAAACAATAAAACAAGACTTGATTTACATAGTTTGTTGATTTCTGGAGTGTTGAATATTTAACAACTGGCTCTCAAAAGCCAGTTCAAGCTGGTTCCAGCACACTCCTGCCTGACTCCCGATCCAGAGCTCTTCAAACTACAAGACACTGCTGACAAAACTTGAAATTCTTTGGAAATATTTTAGAAAAAGTTTTTCAGGGGAAAATAATAATAATAATAATAATAATAATAATAATAATAATAATAGTTAACATTTATATAGTACTTTATAGTTGAGTACACGATCTCATTTAGTCCTCACAACAAACTTGTGAGGTAGCTACTTTACTCAATGTCTCCACTTTATAGATGAGGAACAGTCAGTAGGCCAAGTTGATGGATGCAGCCAGTATGCAGCAGAGCCATTTTCAAATACAGTCTCCTCACTCCAAATTCAGGGCTTTCTGCTGAACCGCAGCTGGCTCCCAGGCTAAAATTCAATTCAATTTGATTCAACAAGCACGTGTTGAGTGCCTTCTCTATGTACAGCTTTGTGATAGATGGCAGGGATAGAAGGGCAAAATCTAACCCTAACCCTCACAGTACCTGCCCTTAAGGAGCTTCCATTCTACTGGGGGAATACAAAATGTACCCAAATAAGTAAATATAAAGTAATTTGGCAGATGAGTAAAAGCCCTAACAACTAGGAGTATCAGGATAGGCCTCAGGCAGGAAAGATGGCACTGGAGCAAAGTCACAAAGGAGCTCAGGATTCCAAAAGGAGGGAGAGAAAGGAGGGCATTCCCAGGCATGGAGGTCACACTGTGTATATCAAGTACAGGGACCAGCAATAAATAGATAGATAGATAGATAGATGAATGAATGAATGAATGAATGAATGAACAAAAACACATTTGTTTAATAATGTTCATTAGGAAAGTGACAAATGGATTAGATTCTTAAAGTAATCCTCAGGAAGAGTGAACACTGAAATCGTTCCCAAAGAAGACAGTATTGGCAAAGGTTTTGACTTAGTTATTGAGGCAGTTATCATAAAGGATGGGCCAGAGTATTTGCTAGTTTTCCCTATGGGTATGATGCTATCCTGAGGTGTGTTAACATTCTCTCCTGGCACAGGGAAGCAAGAGTATTTCATCTCTCTCCACTGGGGCCTCATGTTATCACTAAGAAAAAGGTCAGTGGTTTTGGTCATGAAGTAAAGCAAGGAGGAGAGGAAGTACCCCTGCCATCCTCTCATTGCTCCCATTGGACAAGATGGGGAAATAGGGACCATTTCTTTAAGATGCTATCTTTCCTTCTCCCATGCTTTCCTCCCTCGCTGACTTTTGTCTAAATCTCTTGTACTTTAAGAAGTCAGGCAGGCAGCAGTGAGTGATGCTAGGAAAGAAGTGGCGTCTGTTCAGTATGGAACCGTGTTGGTATGTTTGATGTGTAGATTTGGAACCAGATAAATGGGGATCTTATTTCATCTCCCCAAAGAAAGCAGATATTTTAGGCTTAACAGTTCGGAGCAGTTCAAATGAGCATAGAAATCCATATATAAAGAATGCATTTATCTTTGAAAATACCAACTTCCAGGCAGGTTATGGATCTCTTTGGCTCGGGAAGGGGAGACCTAATTTAAGTAAACATCCAAAAGAGGGGGAAACAAAGTCTCTTTCCCCAGCTGGGGAAGGTTTGCAGATATGAGAATCCTGACTCAGCACATCTCTATTTTTATTCAAGCAGATTGCCAAGAAATACAGTGGCTGCAGTTTTCTCTCATCTCTAATGCTCACTGCAGTTCAGCTAGAGGACTGAGAACGGAAGACCCTCTTTAATCTACCTGGGAGTGTTGTAGAGGGGGGTGGGAGAGATGAACTGAAGGCGGGGGTCAAGCAGGAGCTGTATCAGCAGATTCTCCTTCCCCTCTCCCTTCACAGAGCAGTAATTGGTCCAGTGGACAGAGATAAACGGTACTTGTGCTGGGCTTCCTGCCTGCTGCTGTTC